TTTTTAATTTCAGTTTGCAGCAAGTGTTGCCGCAGCCTGTGGCAAGCGCCGAGTGCAGATTGTTTTCAAAATTCAAAACAAAAGTGAAATAAATCAAAAGTTAAGCCACGTTTTATTTTTTTTATTTCCTCTTCGTTTTCTCAGAGGCAGCCCAAAAACAAGCACAAGAAGCTTGTGGCCAGCGCCTATGCAGATAGGTGGGTGCATAGCCGGTTCTGCTCTCCTGTCTATGGCTGCTAGTCGTAAATGCCATAGGCTAAAACTTTCAATTATTTTGGCTTGCAAAAACGTTTTGCTTCATATTTTGTTTGCCCAGTTTGTGTGTGTGTGTGTGTTTGTTTACCGTTCAGCGATTTTACTATATTTGTACCCACACATGGGCCATACAAAAGCGCAAATGCCAAAATAAGAATTTACTGCAGTGGAAGGCATAAATAGTTTATAAACTAAGTGACACCGAAAACAACTGACCCAAGCACTAAAAACACTAAAAATAAAACAGAGAACCGACGACAGCAACAGCTACAGCATCGCCATCGCCATCGCCATCGCCATCGTCGACATGTGCAAATTGTACACAATGGCCGCATAGTCATGGCAAAATATGAAAGCACAACAATCACACACTCACACACACACACACATGCACATCCACTCACACACACATTTACACGATAACAACAAACACTCGATTTACTTTGCAACAACAATAAAAAATAATAAATTTTACTTCCATAATTGGTGCCGCCACAAGCAGCCCGGTTGCGTCTTAGTTCTACACAACCACCCACCAAACCGCCTACACTATACACCGACCCACCGACCCACCGACCCACCGACCCACCGACCCACCGACCATCCGATCCAGCCAAGCGACCGAGCAGCCGAAGCTCAGGCAAGCGAATTATTTGAAATATTTTCTCGTTTTATATATACGAGTCTTTTGCTTTGCTGCTCGGCTTTTTCATACTTTTTCGTTCGTTGTTCTTATTGTGGCTGAGCAGGACACAAGTTGTTGCGACCACCGAGCAGCATCGAGCAGCACCACCATTGTCACAATCGCCGTTGCTGTTGCCGTTGCCGTTGCCGTTGCCTTTGCCTTTGCTCGTACCGCAGCCGCCAACTGCCGTGTTGTTTGGCTCTTCCGCCTGATGTTTTTGCTGCCTGGAGCCTCGTCCTTGCCTGTGCATAAATTTAATTAATGGCCGCTGTGAATTTGCCTTTAGTTCAGTTGTTCCATATTATTGTAAACTTCTTTTACAGATAAACAAAGTGCCGGCTGGCATTAGACCTCGTACCCTTTCACATAAATATTTCCACAATAAATTGAACGAATTTCACACTGAAGCATGCGCTCCAAAAACAAAGATCGTAAGAAAAAGAGTTTGTCTTACATCTTTTATTCAACAAATTTTCTTCAAATTAATATCTAACTGTATATTATTCCAGTATTATGTTACACAAGTCCATATAAATATTTCGGTTATCGTATAAAGTTTGTGCGTGATCTATGAAGCCCCAGAGCGAAGCATATTCAGCTGCTTCAGGGGGAACACAAGAGTAAACTTTTAGCACCCAAAGGAGCGATTTGCTCAATCTTAGCGCAAAGCACATTTGAGTCGCACGATGGTGTCATATGTTAAAGTGTTCACAGCCAGATATGTGTTTGGATTTGGATTTAGAGTTTTTATTGCTCACAGCACTTGAAGATTATTTGCCAAGTGTGACTAGACCGGGGGTAGAAGTTAAGGGGTCCTGGGTCGTGGTGTTACAACAAAAGCTAAAAGTTCTCTGTCACAGTTCATGATGTCAAAGGAGCTTGCGCGTACTTGAATCAATTTGTTTCAACTGAATTAATGTAATTTTATTTTCTACAAGTGCTTTCCCAGTTCTCAAGCAGCTAGAGCTCTTCATCCTGTCAAGGATACACCTGCACACATGTCGTATTTAATTTTAATTTGCTCTTGCAGCTCAAACTTTGAAAGTCAACCCTAGACAATTTATGTGCAGCCATTTCTTCAGGTTTCTCAGAAAGTTGTTGCTGCTAGAGAATGGAGAATGGCAGAGGTAGAGAATGTTTACCTTATGCATCACGTGAGACGAGCATATCGCTTTATTTAATTATTTCGAACGAATTGTTGCCTTATTTAAACTGAATAAATGTACACGGAAATTCATTATTCAAAGTGACTTGAAATTAATCAAATTTCGCAGCAGTTGTTTGTTTAGCAAATATTCCAAATTCAATACTGTCTTGCATCAGCGCTTCCATTATATTATTGGCAAAGAGTCTGCTTTCGTCGATAGTTATCAGTGCATTGATAAGCACTACAATTTCTACTTTGTCTCACGGCGGCCACACCTAGCTGGTTGTAAAACGTGTTCGCGATGTGTCTCAGAGTAACTGACGTGGCTCGAGCCAACTGATTTTTACACAATTTCGAGGGTACATTAGCTAAACACTAAATACTAATGATCTATACTAATTATTGCTATTCTCTAACTGGTTGAGGGCCAGCAGTTGCATTGCCCGACCGTTGGCAATCGCGTGGAAGTAAGAGGTCTGCCGGTAGTGCAAGACGCTTGAACACAAGGTCAGCCAGGCCAGATTGATTGCGATTTGCAGTCGATACTTCTGGTGGCCAGACACTGTTAACCAATCCACTCGAAACTCGTTTTTCGCCAATGCTGCATGCTGCTTGTCGCTTACAAGGAAGCAAAACCTGTGCAGCAGAGGGGCAAATGGGAGGGGCGTAGAGAAAAAGAATTACAGGAATAAGAGCTCGACTTTTACCACATACTACACTAGATATAAGAAATAAGAAACAACTTGGTGAATTCTTAGTTCGATTCCCTCAACTATTTCGCCTTGCTGTCATTTTAAGCCAAGCATCTGGAGAGCTTCCATGGGCCGGACAGGTTTTTAATCCACATTGCAAGTTGTAGCATCACTTTTCCTTTCGAATGGAAGTCAAGGTCAGCTGGCGTGAGCAAAACAAAAACTGAATACAACAGCTGAAGCAGACGAAAGAGATACCAAAGCTCCGATAACATATTGACAACAACCGACAACAACCGTGCTGCTGGTGTTGTTAGAGTTAGAAAAAGAAATCATGAATATTTATCATTTACGGTTCAGGTTATGATCTGACGTATTGAAACCGGTGCTGCGCTTAGATATTATTTCTGTTCACGCATAATTTGTATATTGAACCGGTTTGGGGATTTGGCAATAATCATACTACGCTCCAGCCAGCCTCGGGCTCTGAATATTTATTTTCATCCATATTTTCTAGATGTACACCAACACCATTTTTTTCACATTTAGGCACAATGTAGCCGAAATTAAATATTCACATTTTCGATTTTCCATTATTTTTATATTATTTTATTACGTTTTAATCTTTTTTTTTTTCCAAACCTGCAATATGCAATTCATGAATTTATGCACATTGCATATTAAATATCGTTATAAAAAAGTGCAAAATATAAAACATGCGACAAATGGCAAGCGAATTTTTTTCTCATTTTCATACAAAGCACTGACACATCAGTCGGATCACTTATTGAAGTGCAACAAATTGATAGGGAAATAAAGAGTGTGTAACTGTGTTGTTTAAAAATAAATTAAATTAAAAAGTTTATTTTTGTTTTTTATGGGGCATAACTTAAATGCATTGAATCAACTCCCATATGCTGATTTCCTTTGTCAACTAAAAAATTAATTAATTGTTATTTAATGGGAAAAGCCATGTTCAGCGCAGTTAAATATCGAAGTACAATTACGTTTAATGCCATTCAGCTTGATGCGGTAACTAAAAGTCAAATCAATCCGTCTCGGACTCAATATCCCAAATAATTAAACAGACACACAATTGCGAGCCAAATGCCAGAGTTCAATCAAGCCTTTTTGGCATAAATATCGCAATAAACGAGTTTGGGAACGATTTTAAGGCCCTGCGAGTACGTGGCTAAAGAAATGTCAGAGGGGCGTGGTCAAAGCATTTGACAGAGGTCTATTAAACGTACAACATCTATTCATCAATAAATAGACTATTGTAAACAATAAATGCCCTGGATATCTACTGAAAATACAAGATATTGATTTGTGATAGAATATCTTTGAAAGTGGTAAAAGCTCAAGAGCATGCGGGTCTGTGTAAATTAATTAAATGTATTTCTGAATAACAACAGGTTAAATAAGGCGCAAGTCTCTAAACTTTTTAGCAGAAAATTGCTCAAAGCCTGTATCCAGAGCAACAAATGCAACAAAGCAAAGCAACGGATATATGTATATGCCAACCACAGAGAGTCAAAGTGAGAGACACAGCCCACGGGCTCAATTCCATTACTCACACTCGATCTGTACTCACAGTCACACTCGCAAATGTACTCACACTCACTTTCACACTCACACCTACTGAAAAAATCAACAATTGTGGGAGCACAAGCAAATGCCATACTCCAACGCTCTTGAAGAAGTTACGCTTATCGCCGGGCATTAAAGAGCATGAGCCCGAGTGCTATAATGCATCTCTAAAGCGGGTAGCACTAATATATAATAAGCTTATTAGAAACAACATTTTATGATTATGCTGCGACATTTGATAAACATGCATTATTTATGTCTTGGCACATATAATTTATTCCATTCGGAAAACATGTTTTTGTGTCAGCTGAAATTGATTTTGCATCGAAGGCGCCAATTGCTTATAATTGATTGGTCTAGACAAAGTCGGATGTTTAGCAATGCCTCTCGATATGCCTAATATATGTTGCTCATAGTTAATTTGTTATTAAGATATTTGCCATATACAAAACAACTTCTTAAATGATTTAAATTGGATGCCTAAAAAAAGAAACAAATAACTAATAAAATATATATGTTGTTATTAGCATATCGTAATACAGTGTATGCTAAAAGTAAACGGCCTGCAGGCAAGCATGGCAGCTATGTCTGGGATCGGCTCTCTTTAATGCTAGCTACATAGCTAGCGATAAGCGTAACTGTCTTCTGGAACTCCAACGGCATTTGCTTGGCTCTCTCAATTGTTGTTGCAATTGAATGTAACGTAAGAGTGCGAGTGCGAGTGCGAGTGCGAGTGTCGGCTTGAGTGTGAATGTGAGTATGAGTAGGCTATGCCTCGGCCTCTCAGTGTTTGGCAAAAACGATCGCAGCGCCAATGTGGAACCGGCGTGACGCTGGCGTCACCGATACCTCTGGCTAGCCTATAAAAGCAGCGCATTTAGTGTGTGTTTCTTTTCAGAGCGAGCTCAGTGTTAATTTCACAGCGGAGTTGGCCAGCAGCGAGTGCGTTACCAGACCCGAACCAACCAGTTACCACGTCAAACTCAAAGACAATACCACACAGGCAATTAAATAAACGAACAACAACAACGACAACGACAACGACAACGACCTGTGCATATCGTGTGAGTGTAGAGTGTAGATAGCTGTTCGAAATGTTTTAATGTGTTTATCAAAACAATTCTGGAGTTTCGAATGCAAAGTGCTGTAATAAATACAAAATCAACTACCCCACCCCACACCCACACAAACAAACAAACTGGCTAAAGTGCTTGACGGAACTCTTTGCGCATTTCAAAATGTTTGGTATCGAAAATGAAATTGAGTGAGTGGTGCGAAAGGGGTGCTGGGCTGTGCTGTGCTGTGCTGTGCTGTGCTGGGTATGGTGTTGCGGTGTTGCCAGCGCAACAAACACTAATTGAATTATTTAATAACACAATGCAAAAGCCACTGAACAACACGAAAATGTTATGGGGCAACAAAACCCGCTTTAAACCCGAAATTGCGGTCAAAATTTGTTGTCTCGTCTTATATAAAATACCTGTTCGCTGTTCGCTGTTTGCAGCGCCGCTGATTGCTCTTTCAGACCGCAAACGTACAAGCTCTCGCAGACGCGCACACGCACACGCACACCCACGCTGCGGCAGAGCAGCATGCACAAATAAATATATAATAAATAAATAAATACAAAATAAACCCAATCTGAACTGATAAAATAGTTGCAAGTGCTCTCAGCGTAGATGCTGGCGACTTCGCTTCACAACTGAAAAAGAAACAAACTTAAAATATGTGGCAGCATTCCGAAATATCATTCGCTTCGCATACAAACTAAATAAACAACATAGTCTTTTCGACTCGAGCCAGCAAACCAGCCACTAAGCAGTACCCACGCGTGCTCCAGTCGAGTTTACTCAACTGCTCGGTCCGCAGCTGATGCGCAAATGCTGTCAATATAGAGAAGCAATTGCAATGCCAACTTTGTGTTTCTTTATCAATGTCAATGGACACTTGTTAAAAAGAGTTTTGCAAGTAATTAGCTGATAACGGCCAGACAACTTCCGATTGTTCAGATACGCTTTCCAAAAATACAAATAGTAATTAATTTATGTGATTTCCAGTCAGTCCAACTGCTTAACTGTGATTAGATAGATAGCACTCGCTGTGCGATTATAATAGCTTTTAAATTCCTTCTGATGGGCGAAGTTTCCTTGCATGCGTTGCATTAGTTTTATGATCTGACCAACCGATTAAAGTTACCGCAATCCCTATGCATCAGTGTCAAAGCATTTTGGTTTTTACTGGCGCCAACGATTCTGTCAATGTCTACGATCGCCGGTTGCTCTTATCTATGTGTGATAAGTCGCTTTTAAGGGCTATGTACTCAGAATTGATTCATTAGTGGAAAGCACGGCCCACTCTGGTTACCTTTTATTTCTTTTCCTTGTGAGCTGAGAGCTAAGGCAGAGCCGAGGAGTCGGAGCATGTGACATAGTTGCCACTGCGAAACACCAGAACGAAATGATTGCAGATGAATTCTGAATGGCTGAATCGATTTAATTACCGTATTACGGTCCGCTACGTCTCTGCTGCCCACTCGATACTCTTGGCTCCAGTACCTGGCCGGCACCGGAGAGCAAATTAAAAATGCCAATCACAGCCAACGAACGAGCGTGACTGAGGTGCTGCTGAGGCGGGCAGGGAGCGCATGTTAACTATTGACGATTGCCACTGGAGAAAGAGTGAAAGACGTGGCAGGGCTGCATCTGAGAGCTTTCAAGAATTCTGTCACACCCACCAGTAAGAGGGGCAGGCGGAGGCGAGACACGCATACACACACTCACACACAGTCATTCCAGTACGTGTTGCACCTGAGTAGTACTTGCCCCACACTCCAGAACGTGGCGTAGTAAACACGTTTAGTGCCAAAAGATAAAAATTCCAAATCGTTGAGCCCATTCGACAGAAATTATGCTCTAACTTGTGAGCACACAAAGGCTAGCTATGTCGCTTCAAATCAACATACATAACTCCAACACATGCGTAAGCCTGACCAACCAAATACAGACCCAAACCTGGACTCGTTCCCAATCACATATATGAATATATATAAACGAATAATTATATATGTATATGTATATATATTGCGTCGCATTTAGCTAGACGAAATCCACAAACTGTAAATACTAGTTAGAATTGATCAACTTATTAACTAGATAATGCCATACCCTATACCAAATGGCCGACCATCAAAAAGTTATTTTCAGATTAATAATAGAAATGAAATGAATTCAGCAATCATATTATGTGTATCAATAAAAATGCTCAACATTTCTCAAAAAACTCTCTAGTCGTACATGTCTTCATTTGCTATGCGTGCCTAGTTACAGGGTATAGAGAGGCAAAACCAAAACAAGAAACTTGACTACAAGAAATTGCCATTTGATTTAAAACTGAGAAATCGTGTTTACGCAGCAGCAGCAGCAACGGGAAAGAGGACGGGACCTCGAACTAGAACTACTAGAGAATAAAGTGGACCGGTAGCCGCAGCGGAAAGAAAGATTCTGAATAGTTGACGTGCTGGCTGATAAGAGCACCCGTGTGTTTGTAAATAAATACACATACACATACACATACACATGCACATTATCGAGAGACAGAGTATAACAAGTACCACTCTCTAAAATTAAGACTCTCTTTACTTTACTTCCATACGAAACCAGGTTTGTGTTGGTGCAGGTTACAACACAAATAGTATGGTGACTATTGGATACTCTTATTGAGACATATTGAGATGTAGTTTAATTATTTATAAAAACTATTTGGTAAAACATTAACTAACTTTTGTTTATATATTTATTTCATATCAGGTAACTGACGAAAATTTAAAAAGACTACGATTAACTAAGCGATATAATGTGTGGTAAGTAATACTTATCAAATAAACTGCCAAGCATTCAACAAGATAATGTGCGTTACTTATTATCATGTTATAAAAGTGGTTCCTTGTGAGTGAAAATGAATCAATTGCCCATATCAAAGTGACCGAAATTAGTGCTATCCTGATAACCACTCAGGCTAAAAACAATTCGGAATAAAAAGGTTTTAATGTTAAATGCCTTTATTTGTAATAAAACAACTACGGACTTATGCATTTACTTGAATTTACCCGATGGCCTTTCGCCTCGCTCCACTCCAAAAATAACTTCAAGTGGACGGTAACAAAGCCGCTAAGCCACTTATTGAAGCAGTGCACTTACCTGAAAGGCCCAATCCCAAACTGGTTTCTGATGCAGATTTCCTCATAACTGGTTGGGCTTTGGCTGGCACTCAATAACTTTAGCTCTTGCAAAATGTATTTATTGCATATTAATCTTACTCCCATTTCGATAAGCTCGCTGGCATTTGTTATAAACTAAAGTGTGTCCATTGTACTTGTCTACAGGCATTTTCGCATACCTGAATTATCTAACGCCCAAGTCCCGCCAGGAGGTGCTGGATCTGCTGGTGACAGGCCTGAAGCGTCTGGAATACCGTGGCTATGACTCTACCGGCGTCGCCATCGACTCGCCCGACAACAAGGACATTGTGATGGTTAAACGCACTGGCAAGGTCAAGGTGCTGGAGGATGCGATTCAAGAGCGTAAGTCGTAGCTGAATCTGATTTACGTTGCAGCCCCGATTGTTAATCCAATTGTATTGCACGTGCGCAGACTTCAATGGCGCCGAGTACAGTGAGCCGGTGAAGACGCACGTTGGCATTGCACATACACGCTGGGCCACCCACGGCGTGCCCTGTGAGCGCAACTCGCATCCGCAACGCTCGGATGAGGGCAACAGCTTTGTCGTGGTCCACAATGGCATCATTACCAACTACAACGACGTGAAGACCTTCCTGTCAAAGAAGGGCTACGAATTCGAGTCGGACACGGACACCGAGGTCTTTGCCAAGCTGGTGCATCACCTGTGGAAAAAGCATCCCAACTACTCGTTCCGGGAGCTCGTGGAGCAGGCGATTCTGCAAGTGGTAAGTGAGTCCACTCAGGTGGAAGCCGAATCTCATTATGTTATAGAGTACTCATGATGTGTTTCACTTATTTCGTGCCGACAGGAAGGCGCATTTGCCATTGCTGTTAAATCGAAGCATTTCCCGGGCGAGTGCGTCGCCTCACGGCGTAGCTCCCCCCTGCTCGTCGGTATTAAGACAAAGACCCGATTGGCCACGGATCACATTCCTATTCTGTACGGCAAAGGTAAGCGATGCTGGCCCAGCGAAGGGAATAAATTGTCTTTCTGTAGAGTCACTTCTGTATCTCTTCTGTATTTCACACAACGATTTCTCTTGTCTTTTATCTCAATACATGTACATACTCGTATCTGTCTGTGTTATGCGTGTTCGTTCTCTCTTTCAAAATAACCAACTGTCTCTCCCTGACGGCACTCTGAAACTTTTCAACACTATCGCCCCAAAATACATCCTTTGGCGACCCTTCTTCCTCGTTTGCCGCATCTCTGCTGATCCTCTGTGTTAATTTCCAACGTTTAGATGACAAGCAACTGAGCTCCGATCAAGGTAGTCAACTAATCTAAATCCGTGCTCTACCGATCTATCGCTATCTGCCTTCTACCGGTGACTGGGTATCTGAGTGTCTAATCAAACTCAACTAACCTCTTCTCGCTTCACTCTCAAATCAATTAAATTTATAAACTCCTCGGTGCTGGTGCTGATACCTAAATATAGCTAAGCTGAACTTGTATTTTGATATTTTATTCAACATTTGTTTATTTTCTCTCTCTCGTGCTTGTCTAGATGCCGACTCTGGCAAACCCCAAGGTAATTACTTAAAATTTCAATATTATTTTATAATAGCTCATATATAACATACGATTTATGCTTATTTGCTTTCTGTTGGCCGAAATAAACCACCTTCATCTGTTCTTTCTCTCCTAAGGAATCGACTGCGCAGTTTAGAGAACTTTAATTGAATATTTGAAAATTGTTGCAGACGGCTGCAATCGACTGCACGATACTCGTTAGCAGTTTATTTATATATATATTTTTTATTTGATATACATATTGAATAGTTAAAATATCTTGTTAGTTATACACTCAGAGAGATATTGATATCTTACGATTATTTAAAAATACATAGATATGCTTAGAAAAAATACACTTTGATCAAAGCCAATATACTCACTACGATTTCCGACGGAGTATGCAAAGCGGATATTTTTGTGTTTTTGGCAAAATTGAGATGCAAATGTTTTGGATGTCATTGGCAAGGCTTACACTTGCTCAATTCAATATTTATTTTATAAATTTTAAATGCGGTTTTCTAATTTCACAATCTGCACTAAATTAATTGTCAAGCTCTTCTATTTTGTCTGCTTTTACTTAAGCAAAAAAAATATCATCTTACTGACATTTATTGTTGGAAAGTGTCAGTTGCAAACAAATTGCTGGATAAATGAAATTTAAGCAATGCATCAAAAGGTTTTAAATTAAAAAGAGTTTTGAAAGACGATTACCTAAAGAGCATATCGACTTTTTTCACTCGTGTGATAACAAGGCACATTTTAAAATTATTCTTTTTGACAAGCTTCAGTGATGGGTGTTTAGAAGAGAATTAAATGTTCTTTTAGTTTTTATGACATTTAAATATTTTTGTTTTAGCAATATTCAATTTGCCTTAGCTTGCTGATGATAGGACTTACATATATTTCATTTCTAATTTCTGCATTACTCTCTCCCTCTCTCTCTCTCTCTCTTTCTATATCTCTCTCATAAACTTGGAATACATATGTATATACATACACACGCAATATTTAAATGCATAAACCCATATCCTATTGCTTGCAACACTGACAATTACGTCCCGCCTGTCTCGTACTGTGCCGTCCCCCTTACGCTGGTCGATTCGGTCAAAATGCAACTCTATCGACATCCCCATCGCCATCGCCATCGACCGCAATCGCAATGCTGCCTGCAACTGCAACTGCCACTGCAACTGCCACTGCAAATGCTAATGCTAATGCTGATGCTGATTCAAATGCAAATCGGCAACGTCAACACCATTCAAATACCAAATTAATCGAACAGAGTTGCGTCCCCATGGACAAACTCGTGAATTGCCAGTGTTGCCGCGCTCGGATAGCACATCGGAATTCATGCCAATGGCGGAGAAGGAGGTTGAGTATTTCTTTGCCTCGGATGCCTCGGCTGTCATCGAGCACACAAATCGCGTCATCTACCTGGAGGTGAGTGCCTGTCATATGAATAAATTCAAGCGTCTACTGAGCCACTCAATACAAATTCCTTTCAGGACGATGATGTGGCTGCTGTGCGGGATGGCACGCTGAGCATCCATCGCCTGAAGAAGAGCCTGGATGACCCGCATGCCCGCGAGATTACCACGCTGAAGATGGAAATACAGCAGATCATGAAGGGCAACTACGACTACTTCATGCAAAAGGAGATCTTTGAGCAGCCCGATTCGGTGGTCAACACAATGCGCGGACGTGTCCGCTTCGAAGAAAACTCCATCGTGCTGGGTGGCATAAAGGACTTTATACCCGAAATAAAGCGCTGCCGTCGCCTAATGCTGATCGGCTGCGGCACCTCGTACCACAGCGCCGTTGCCACGCGCCAGCTGCTGGAGGAGCTCACAGAGCTGCCGGTCATGGTGGAGCTGGCCTCAGACTTCCTGGACCGCAACACGCCCATATTCCGCGACGACGTCTGCTTCTTCATCTCGCAGTCCGGCGAAACGGCCGACACCTTGATGGCGTTGCGCTACTGCAAGCAACGCGGAGCCCTCATCGTCGGCATCACCAACACCGTGGGCAGCAGCATCTGCCGCGAGTCGCACTGCGGCGTCCACATCAATGCCGGCCCCGAGATCGGTGTGGCCTCCACCAAGGCATACACATCACAGTTCATATCGCTGGTGATGTTTGCGCTGGTCATGTCCGAGGATCGCTTGTCCTTGCAGCAGCGACGCTTGGAGATTCTGCACGCTCTGTCCAAGTTGGCTGATCAGATTCGCGAAGTGCTCAAGCTCGACTCCAAGGTACGAGAGCTGGCCCAGGACTTGTATCAGCACAAGTCACTGCTGATCATGGGTCGCGGCTACAACTTTGCCACCTGCCTGGAGGGCGCATTGGTAAGTCTTACTTGGAGTACTTAAGTAGGAGTTATCTGAAGTATTTCATCCTGTTCCTTCTCATAGAAAGTCAAGGAGCTGACCTACATGCACAGCGAGGGCATCATGGCCGGCGAGCTGAAGCACGGTCCGCTGGCGCTTGTGGACGATTCCATGCCCGTGCTGATGATCGTGCTGCGCGATCCTGTCTACGTCAAGTGCATGAACGCCTTGCAGCAGGTCACCTCCCGCAAGGGCTGCCCGGTGATCATCTGCGAAGAAGGCGACGAGGAGACAAAGGCCTTTTCGTCGCGCACCCTCGAGATTCCCCGCACCGTCGACTGCCTGCAAGGCATCCTCACCGTCATTCCCATGCAGCTGCTCTCCTACCACATCGCCGTGCTCCGCGGCTGCGACGTCGACTGCCCCCGAAACCTGGCCAAGTCCGTGACAGTGGAGTAAGCAGACTTGCTTCCTTCTCAAGCGCCGGGCCACTCTCAATACTTACCCAAGGCACCTCGCGTGCCCCAATTCCATAAATATCTCTATATGCATACAACCATACTCTCTCACGCCCACAAGTGTGTGTGTGTGTGTGTCTATATCGCTAGCGAGGCACACACACACACAGTGATTATATAGAAGCACTTGTTCACACATCAAAATGGAATCTAACGAACTACTTTATTAAATTGAATTTGTTTTGTTAAATCTATTTCTTATTTGCATCTGGCGGTGAGAATTTATAGCTAAAAAGGCTTTGATTTACTTTTCAAGTATAACAATCGCAGACCACGATTTGCGAAAACTTTCTTTCATTTGTGTGGAAAATCCGTTTCTCAGCAGCGCAAAAATTGCAACATTAAAATCGTATTTAATATAATTTGAATCCTTAGAGCTGGCAACAACTCTGTAAGGTGTGTCCCTCAGCATTTAATTAAATTCAACTTTAAATTGGATGCCATAAAAATGTAATGCCCCAAATATGTGACCCAAAAAAATAAAAATGTAAAGAATAAACAGAAACGTGGACGACAGCGCTGCGGCCGCTGCTTGTGGAACAGCACTCGTGCGGCGGAGGTGAAGTTGGTTTTTATTGAAAGCTGCGGTGGTATCAGCAGCAAACGGTTATGTCTTCAAGCCAAAGCCAAAGCCAAAACCGAAACCAACTACCAAATCCAAGCAAAACACCAACGAATAAATGGAAAATACCGAAATGGCCACTGCTAAGCCAAATACTTCGTAGCATCGACCCGCTCCTTCAGCTGCAGCCGCCATTCCAATCGCCAGGTACTCGAGCACACACACACACACGCACAGCCACACACACACACACATGGAATTTTCACCGAATTGAACATGCTCAGCAATGTTCTTCTTATTATTTTCAATTCCCATTGAATTTTGGAAGGGCACATAATCTAGATTAAGGGCCGCAGAATGTAGAAACAGACACACACACACACATACTTGGACTTGGGCCAGGCGTTGCTCGTAGCCAAACGGCGTTAGACATATTTGGGTTGATGTTTTCATTGGCAACAGTAGCTAACGGCCACTTCCATCGGCTAAGTGTATTGTTTTTACCGAAAATTCGAGCAAAGTAGCAAATCTTAACAGCAGAATTTTAACAAGACAATGGGCAACAGAGATAGATAGATTGAATTGAATCTTTAAGCATGTGAACTTTATTAGAGTCTGCTTAGAGGCTCGAGGCTCCCAATAACAGCACTCGGAATTCTTAAATTTATATTTTATACGGATGAACTATCCTCGTGTTGACCATTGTGGGCGAGTGAAAATTTCTTGATGGTTAATTAACTATCCGCTCGTGTGTGCGACCCAGTAAAGCAGCGTTAAGCTGCCAGGGATTATGTGGCATGTGCGCTGGCGAAATTGAATTGCTTCGCTTATATACATATTTATTGCGCTTGCCTGCCAAGTGGCCTGGCTGGCTGTTCGACTCGAAAACCAGCTGCCAATCGAGTTTTCGGGGGGCATTAAGTTTGGCGGGTTTTATAAAGTGTCAGAGCCGAGCAGTCAAAGTTCTAAAGCCGCAAACACTATCCGAAATAAATTCATTTGCGGCTGATGGCAAATAGTCTCGATTCCTGAACCCTTAATGTGCTGTTCGCTCCGCAAGCGGAATGAAATAAAAGCATGTTTATGCATTTGCCCGACGAGGTAAAAACTTGTGAAACTGTTATACAAACACGTTCAGGTAATTCCATAAGAAACTTTTATCTTACCGCAGTCGTGAGCCCTCGTTGCCTTCCCCACTCTTTGCATTCGATTTCTGGCTAAAGCCGAGCCGAGTTCTGTTTCCGTTCTGGCTGCGGGAAAAGTCCTCGTCGACCTCGTTGGCGGCACGTTCAGCTTATTTCTACAATTGCCTCATTAGAAACTGTAATGCATATCCGGCTTATGGCCAATTGCCACATAGCCGTTCGTTTTGAACAGTGTACATGAACAGTTCCTCGATTCAATTGCGCCAAATGGGAGTTTTGTTTCGAAAGTTAAATCCACTTCGAGTGGAGACTTGTATTGTGGTAATTAATGAGAGCCTCAACAGCGGGGATCAACGTACATATGTACATATGTATATGTGTATATACATATGTATGTATATATGTTACATACCACATCCATATTACTAGGGCTGGCAAAACCCCAAGCAAACTACTTAAGATGATTGTGTAAATTGTCAAGCAGTCGGTTCTGTGTGGCTGGGCTGTTGTCATTAGCTAGATAACAGCTCGGATTCCAGTTATAACTCAGATCTCATCTCGGCCACTGTAAGCCACAAGTCAACGGGCGTTGCTTGACTTTCTGCTTCACCACTCAATTGATTGAGGCAAGTGGATGGGCACTTGCGGACGTTAAATGGGGAATGGGAATGGGAAAGGGAATGGGCATGGGAAAGGCGTGGAAGGAAGGGAGTTATGGGGATTGTCGCTATTGATTGATATCAAATCGTGCAGACTCTGGGCAACTTGGACGCCACTTGGGGATTTGTGGAAGCGTGTTTTGCGACACGTTAGCGCCAGGCGTTGCGGTGTCAATTTATTTTTTAACGTCAAGCATGCGTCCTAATCTTCCATTTAGGCCCTTCGACAATGAAGACGACAGCTGAGATTCCATTTGTGCAAATTGTAATTGTCAGGCGCAGGACAGGGCGCTGAGAAATCCCACATGTCTGCCAATAAGAATGGTGTCCTTTTTTTTTGCCTTCTACTGCTATTTGGGCTGTTCAACTTTCAACGGGTTTCCGTATCTATGTTGAGCAGGTGAGTTTTCCTGCGGGATGATAAATGCTTTTCTCTGACTCGGAACGGAGTCGAGCTTGAACTTCTGCGAGCATCCTGAGGGAGTGGAAGGACCGGCAGGCGGGGCTAGGTAATTGAATATACATTTTTGCAAAGTTATCTCATTTCATTCGCCACAGTTCTAAGAGCTGCGCGTAAACCCGTTTTAAATATGCAACAAAAAGTTGCAAACTTAGTTCAGAAAATAACTTTTGAAATGCCGCGTACGGGCATTGTTGATAGCTGCTCTGGGGGTTTGGCTTGCTGTCTGTGCCGTCCTTGCTGTCCACCGGGGCCGTGGCAAATGTTGTCGTTATTGTTTAACAAAATAAAAAGCTGGTTTGGGGCAAACAAGCGCCAGTGTATCAGTGAGTCCAAAACTTTTGCAGCAGAGACAACCCAATATAATTCAAATGATAATTGTTATGTCTTTTGTGAAATGGAAACAAAAAACATTCGAAACAAAAACTCCAATTCTCAGCTGAATGATATGCAAACAGGTACCGAGCACCCAGGTGCCCAGATGGGGCATAGCATCTAATATTTAAATAGACCAACTTCATATTATTCTTCTTTCTCCCTCGAATAATGAACCCAACTATATCGAAGGCAGTCTACGCGCCCGCTGTGAGCCATCACATCGCTGGGCTCTTCCATTCAATAACATACCAAATGCGCACTGTGCAATATAAAAATATTTAGTGCTGGAATCATGCTCTCCGATTCAATACTCGATGGCAGGCTGTTGTTTTGGCGCCCCAACCGGCACACATTCCGTCTATTTACTATTCCGAGGCACATTTTCGAATCACAGCGGACCAGGAATGGAGAAGTTGCGTGCCACATAAACAAGCATAGCAAAAGCAGAGGAAATAGAGAAAGTACCGTAGCAGAAGAATAGCACAAAACTTTTGTCACGGATTTGTGTACACTCTATGAAAGAAAGAAGAAGAAGATACTATATTTCTTCTGTATTGTTCCAGCTTTCTATCTAAGCCGCGAAAAAATGAGAAACTGAAAACAAAACGTAATTGCATACGATATGCAACGGCATTCACACAGACAATAGAGCATATGTCCTAGTCGAGCACACCCTGCGCGAGCTGCTAGCTAAATTCCAACGTGCAAAGGGACAACCAGCTCCGTTCGGCAATTGGAAATCGAGTCCCCGTGCAAATTTACGCTCCGCAAGGCAGCTGCGACCGCGTCTGATGTCTTCTTTCTCTGCTGGCGTTCCTTCCTTCCTTCCTTTTTTTGTTTTTGATTTTACCGATGGGGTTTCAATAGGCGATACGAAAGGCACTGTATTGAATGGTATGGCGGCGTTGCCGAACCTGATGCCGTTTTGCATAAAAGAATAACGTCGCTCATACGCCATGTTGGCTATAATATTTCGTGGAACTAATGAACCACACAGCGTCATGTGCGTTGCCACTTTCATTTGTGGTGAGATTTGGATGCTGACTGTGGCGCCTCTTGTTGCTCTCTTGTGGCTGCCGCCGCTGCTCCTGCTACTCCTGCTGCTGCTACTTACATCTGCGTTTACGTTCGCATTTTGCTTTGTTTTCGCACGAGCTCGAAGCGTCTAGTGTGTGTGGCGTATGTTTGCATGCGTGTATCTACGTATGTGTGCGTGCGTGTTCATACCTATATATTGCGTCGGTAAGTGCACGAACAGTGTCCCACAGCAGCCTCGTATGCAAACATATTTATGTGGCTACGTGCTGCTGCATATCTTTTCAAAATTTTACATTTCACCGGGACGACAGGCAGCCAGTAAAAATATTCCCCTTGCTTTATTTGCAAGCTCTCCAACTCGCCCGCTATTTCAGGTTCAGGTTTCAGACTCATCTGCATACGGCCGGCACCTACAGTGCGCAGGAAAAGTGGCTGCCCGGGATGCTGGGTGCTTGTATGACAAATAACTTTTGACACATGGTGCCACAAAGACCACAATGAATTTCATTGCATAATACAATGGAATGGAATATGGGCAAAAATTGAGAAATATTCGGCAAGAAATATTCCGATCTATCTAGTCTTTAAAAACAATCCAATTATCGATATAGTACCCTCAGCGATATACTTAGGAATTCAACACAAAACAAGTATATGCAAATATATAATGTAGTCTGAATGCTATATATGCTAAATAAGTGCAGAGCGTATGCCTCAGTTCCGGGAATCTTTGAAAGCTGTGCAACATTAAAACGATTTATTGGCTGAAAGTGGATTTTAACATAAATCAGATAGCTCTTAAGGAACACGAAATACGCTTACCTTTCCGAAAGTAAAATAGATGATCTCAACACACTTCGCAATAAAGCTGCTTTTGTGCGGCGTGCGCCGTACGGCGTATGGCGTCAGGCGTAAGGCGAGCAGCCGTGGCTTGTGGAGCGGGTAGTTACTCTCAATAGTTGGTTTGCCATCGGCCAGGATGGGCCAGTTTTAAATCATAAAATATTTATGCTCCCCTCCGGGCGTGCCCGTAATTCTACTTAGTTTACGACCCCCCTTAAATTGAGTGGGCATAAAATACTTACACCGAAACACATTTAATCGAAATCTCCACAGCACTCCTAATGGACAGGCGGCGGCAGCAGCGGCTGTTGAGTCGAACCCCTTCTCTTGCGCCCAAGGACACACCACTCTCAAGGACATGTGTGGACTTGTATGGCGATGAACTTGAGTGCCGTCTCAATTACTCGGCACGTGTCCTGTCCGACAAGCAGCCGTAGACAACATTGTGTCTCATCTAATGGCTTTCATATTTCTGTTAAGTTGATTGTACTGCTATAAAAATTTATGGGCCCACTAACCCGAGGTGTTTGAGCAGAGATATCAGCAGCTAAATGCCAGCTGCTCGACAAACTAATAACATATTAATGCTTATGTGCTTGGGGGCAATAACGATCAACTATTATATTTGATTTAAAGAGAAATCCAAAGAGTAACAAACTCTGCTCGGGTCAGACTCCGCAATCGCACACAAACTCAAATAAATAAATATATATATATAGAAATTGATGAGTCTGCTGAGCCGAAAAATCTAATTTAATTTAATGTTCCTTGTAAGATTTCTGTTAATTTGCTGTCTGCTACGCAACAAATGAAAAGAAAAACGAAAAAGAGAAAAAACCACCTAAAACAAGTTTTTTTCAAGTAGCTTGGAAACAGAGATGAAGATTTTAAAGTCGCTTCTTAATAATGCTTAACAAGAAAAAACATTTCCATGCTCGGCATTAAATTAGCACAAATAAAAAATGTTTTAAAAATATATACATATATAGATGCTTGATGCTGGTGTATCTAAATGAGAGTGGCCCCGCCTGTTTCATGACCTTGAAACAGCCAAGGTTAATGCTGTATGAGTTCTAAACTAGAATATATTTTCATATATGCTCAAATATCAAACTTCAACTTGTATTTTGACAAAAGAATCAATCAACGCTCCCCAAAGCAAAGATTCGATTTGTTTGTGTTTTTCATAGTAATTTTTTTTTTTTTTACTTCTAGTGCTGCTGTCGTCTTCTCAGTAAAACTGGTTTTTATGCTAATTGATCGAACCACAGATCCACCCATTGTCAATAGTCAATAGGAGCAGTGTGAGGTCTGAACACTTCCGCACTGAGCAAAACATGATTCTGTTCACAAAGATTTTGAAATACATATATTCTAATGAAACTATTAGAATTGATAATCAATTATTAGATAGACAGTTGATAGATGCGCTTAACTTAGATACCTTATTTATCTACACACATGCGAGTATGTACATTTGGGTAGATATCAATACACTTAGTATCGAGAGGCGGGCAAGTAGTAGGAGGGAACAGTGCTGGAGATGGTGCTGGGCGTGGGGGTCTTATAGGTGTAGCCAGCGCTAGTGGGTGTGGGTGTGGGCGTGGGTGCCGTGGGGCGTGGGGTCGTGCGATAGGTGTAGCCATCGGTAGATCCCGTCGAAGACTCCACGAGGTACTCGGTGGTGCTCTTCGTGGGCATCACTGGCGTTGACGTTGCAATTGGCTTGACGGGATGTACTGTAGGCTTCGGCGTTTCAAGATCACCGTCTGTTGTTGTGGTGTACACAGATTGAGTGCTGGAACTAACATCCGGTATAAAATCTGTGTTTACCTCTGATGTGGACGCGGTCACCGGCCTCTCCGTGGTCGTTGTGGAGCCCGATGTGAATGAGATCTCCTTGCGGATGCCAAAGCCACCAAAGGATGACTTCGCCTGCAGAAAACTGTTCAGCAATTGTATCTTCTGCGAAATCAAGTTGGAGATCAGCTGGTTGTTGACGGGCGCCACCGTTGCCGTCGAACTAACCGTGCCACTGGAGTAGCCTACAAATAATATTACATTAACCATTTCTCCTCTCGCTCTCTCTTTAGCATCGCAATCCTTCAAAGAAATTTACCACCAATCGGCGCAAAAACCTTCACGAAAATCGGCTTCGCCTCCGTCACGATGACCACGCTACATAGAAGCAGCGCCCAAATCGGAATTGTTCTCAGCATTTTGATTATGACAGCGTCCGCGTTATAACTAACCGGCCGCCGCGTGTAGCCGTTCGGTTTTATACCCCTGGGGCAGTCAGTTTTTGTTCGGCTCTTTGTTGGCTTATGATCAATGTGTGATTTGCTTTAGACACTTTGTGTCTAGCGCTCAAGTGGCTGACAAATAAAATGCGAATTTTGATCAGGCCATGAATGACGGCTCTGTTCAGTGGGTAGCTTCACGCCGTCATCTTTCGCGAACAAACTAATATTTTTAGTAGATTTTTCTAACCACACATATCATATATTATAGCTATGCTTAGAGCATGCAAATGTCGCTAAATTGAATCTTTACAAATTCGATTTCGTGCTTTTTGTATCGCATTTGGCCTTCCTGTTTGCATCGACTGGTGACAAGCAAATGTTCTTATAATTGGGTTAGATGTGCTGACTAAGCACAAAACACAATTTCAGTTTAGCTAAGGAAATAAAAACTCACATGTGTGTGCATAAAAGCTGTATGAAGTCAATTTGTCGTATATAATCTATCAATTGATTTGCAATGAAATTGTACAACAACAAAAAAACTATAGACAGTTTATAAATCGAAAGCATATTAAAGACTTAATATTTTCTTAAAGTTATTTTCAATAAATATTCCAGAGAAGCTGCGAGTGTATAGATACATAAATTTTAGAATTCAGCTCTGGGAGAGCCGAATGTTTGCATTTGTGCTCATCCGAATGAGCTAGCCATAAATCGTTACATCATAATCTCGGCACCGCCCGCCGCCCTCTCCCAATTTGGCTGTGGTAGCACTCATAAAATATTTAAAGTATCGCCAAACAGTTTTACCAACTATCAAGCGAGAGCGCGTTGGGGCTCTGACCCCATGGATCCCCGTGTATGCGAAGAGTGCTGCTATGTTTACACATCCAATGGGCAGCTCGGGCTGGAACATACAGGAATTATATGTTTGCTTTCATTTGGGCAAACAAACACAGAGAGTGAGCCAGTGTGTGTGTCTGTGTGTGTGTGTGTGTGAGGCAGGCAGTAAATTTTTATAGGCAACACTTTGCATCGTAAAGAAAAACGATGGCCGCCGCCGCCGCCTTTGACGCTGAGGCGGTGCGATGGGGCATTTAATAATTTAACCACGACTATTTAGTTTCCATTTCCGCAAAATGCTTTCGTGTTAACGCCTCGAATGCAATAAATAAGCCCGTGTGGTCAATGTTAACCGCCATTCGGCCGCAACAGGGCCGGGATCGAGCCAGGTCAAAGTGTTACGTGCTGCATGATATAGCCCCGTATCCTCTCACATTGTCCATACATATACATATACATATACATATATAAATATGTATAGTATGCATGGGCATAGGCATTTGTGTGAAAGCAAAAACCAAATCCCTTAATGTTAACCCATAAATATTTCATTTTATTACTCAACCTCAAACAAGGGTTACGCTCGTCTGAGCGACGCGGCATCAAAAAATGTTTGGCATAAATTATCGCAGTTCCATGCCATGAACTGGGTCAGGATGTTGCCGGCATTAGGCATACAGGATCTATTTGGTAAAATCATTGCGGAATGCGCGTATGCAAAGCTTTTTTTTTTTCCTGTACTCACATCATTTGCAGCCGCTCGACTCTGATTTCATTCAATTTAAAAGCAAATCTCGGTCAAAGGTTCTCTACAGCGGCAGCGCGCAGAGTTCGGCTTAACATAAATAATTAATCAACGCTGGGCTAAATACAGGTTTGCTCCACGTTCTTAAATTATTGAACACACTCAAGCCAGTTTTCAGACAATTATAAATCTATGATTATCTTTACATTCGACTGCTCATTAGCATACATCCTTGAAAGCCGTTGTAAACAAACGCCAGCTTAGCTTCCCGCTCGCCCAACTTAATTATCCACCATGTCTCACTTGCCATGCGATGCATATTCACGAGCTGTGTAATGCGAAAAGTTTGGCTCTGCGATAAATTCAAATCAATGCCACTACAATTTGCATATCTGACTAATTGACAGTGACTAAGGTCCAGGTCCTAACCACATTTCAGTCGAATGGTAAACAAAGATTATCAGTGCACAACTTTCGGGCGCTTTGCAACAAAGTTGACAGACCGAAAATCAAATGTTGTGACAATTTAGCCAATATCGTAATGTACGAACAAACCAGCCACCAGCTGGCTTCCCGGGCAACTTTGGTTCAGCTGCCATTGGTGGTGCTGCTGCTGCTTGGCTCTTCTCTGTACTGTGGCTGCGTACTTATTGGAAAGTGCTATTCAATTGCCTTGTTGAAGATCTAGTCCGGGCCGGGCCATAGACATGGCCAGCTGCCAGTGAAGTTGGCTGTGGCACAAGTGCTTCAGGCTCTAACTGCTCCCCATTTGCCACAATGAAAAAAGCGCTTAACAAAAAAAAAAAAAAATAGTCCTCTCCACTTTTTCTCTTTTCTTTTTTTATATATATTTTTTTTCTGTTGCTAGAAAAAGGAAAGTGCGAAATTGGCACACCGAGTGGCACAAACACAGATCTCGGCGCGAGGCTGGGCATTGTTGCCCTTTGCTGGCGGATAGACTACTGCCGTCTGTCCCATTGTCGGTGTGAATGTAGATTTAGTGGAAAAATGCCATAATGTAACAACTACAAACAAGAAAACAGCAGCAGCAGCAACAACAACTACAACAACTACAACAACAACAACAACAACGGCAACAGCAACAAAGTGCGTAAAAGTTTTAAGTGCTTTCGAACATTTTGACAAGTTGACTTTTTGTTGCTGTGAATGGGACCAATAATGTTGGAAAGTAAACTTATTTTCCTGACATAATCAATGAAAATAACGTGAACGGCCATCAGCAGAGGCAACTGCTAGGGAACATTGGGCTACAGGGTGAATACCCATAATTCAGTTTTAGTTTTCAGATCGTTTCCTTCTTCTTCCTGCCTCCAGCCAATTGGCCCCGACTGAGGAATGTGACAGACAATTTCCTTTTGAGAAACAAAAACAAGAATGCAATTACTGTTATCAGGGAATCGTTGGGTTTTCGCACAATTGCATACTACAGGTTGAACATTGAGCATTTGATATTCGAATACTTTGCATTACTTCAACAGAGTGTTGAGCCTCGGTCAACACTGCAGCTATGCAGATTTTGCCAATATATTCGATGTTGGGAGTGTAGCTTTCAAGAAATACATTTTCACTTGCTGAAAAGGTATACACTACTCGACTTTGCTATTGGCCAAAGTGCCTCACCTGCTCCTCAAGTGATTTTGCATATTTGGTTATTTGAACGAGAAAGTCAAAAGTTGGGCTGCTCCTGCTGCTATTGACGGCTGTGGAGGGCAACTATAGCACGCGAGCATCGAGCATCGAGCTCCACTTACACACCTTTACAAACACGCACACACACACACACAGCCACCCACCGTCACCGTCGCCACCTACGGCTACGCCAGCATGTGGACGTCAGTACCAGTTGCTGCAATTTTGAGCAAACAGACATGGAACTTGTGTGAAATGGCTTCCTATGGGAATGTTTACATCTGGAATGAATTTGCAAACTCTGACAGTTGCTTGCGTTTTCTGTCAGTCAACGAGTCAGCGTCAGTGTCAACTGGACGAACAGACAGGCAGACAGACGAAGGGATAGACAGACAGACAGGCTAACAGAGTGAGTGAGAGAGAGGGGGAGGCAGAGGGAGACAGGTATTTATTTGGCTATGCTGCCGATATTTCGTCTCGTCTATTTAATCGGGGGCCCTTCGACATGTTGAAGGGCGCTATTAATTTAAAACCTGCCAATTTTTCGCATTCCTCACATCCTGTGTGCCATTGCCCATGTTGCACAACTGTCACACTTCCATCTCATGTCTTGTGGCCAAAAAATAAAAAGGGGGCGATGTCACAAGCTGTCTCACTGTGTGGCTGCCTGCCAATGTCTGAGAGAGATTTTATCACGTATAAAACCCATTAGATGGCCGTGTGACCACCAAAACAGAAAACAGATAGGAACAGAAGAAAAAAAAAAACACAATCCATGAGTCGCATTTACATCAATGCATCTGTGCGGTCCTCTGAGGTTAAGGAGTACCAATAGTTGGCGTGGCCGCAAGCCGTTTGAATTTCCATTACTCCAAATGGGCATAATATGGCAACTCATCCTGGCGGTAATCGAGTGGCTCATAACCGTTACCATCAACATAATGATTGACATAACCATAACCCAAACCAAAAACGCGATGAGCATGGCCTCAACGAATAACCGTCAACCAATTTCCAGATGCCAGTTGGCTTTTAGTCGGCCACAAAACGCGATGACTTCAGCAAGGTGCTGTTACCAGTTGGTAGAAAAGGAAAAATCCACTTCATCTTCTTCGATTCGAGCCTCCCACCTGCTTCATTGACCAGGCCAACAGCTATTGGCCTTTGCTGTTTCGATTGCCAAATTTAATGGGAATGGATTCTATGTCTGTGCTTTATTGCATATCAACTAATTGAGTTAGCTATGTAAATTTGCAGAAAGAAAAGTTTATCATTTCACAGACAACAAGAATAAATAATCGATATGTATTTTAAGCATTTGGTTATTTTGGTATAGAGCAAAGAAAAAGATAATTAAATTCTTAATATGTTTATAATAAAGCTTAGTTGGTTGAATGTCCATTAGATGAAGCGATTTGCTCTCGGCATATTTATCGATGTCTATTAAATTGATTCAACCATAATTTCATCTGACAGGCCTGGCCAACGATTAATTTAGCTGGGCAGCTCGGCCAAACGTAATGCGAACAGCGAACTAAATACATTTATTAGCATGAATATGCGCATATTTGCTGGCACGCTGCTCATGCCGCTCGAGGATGCTGTGTGTGTGGACATCGCCGTGGAACAATTAGCCACTTGGCCAAATCCACACAGTCACGGACTGGCGAGCTGTGTGAGAGCGCTCGCTCAACTGCGCCTGGAGTGGGCCAAATTACAAGGACGCTGGATAACAGTAGCAGACATAACAAACTAATTAGATGGGCCCCAATAATGGAAGTGCCAGCGACAAGGCGGCAGCATTTGGCCTCGCTCTCAACGTGCTTATGCTTGCTCCTGCATAATAATCAGCTCAAGAACTAAGCGATTTGCGGGCAGATGGTTACCGCGCGCACCGCTATCCAGGTGCCCGGTGGCAGGTGGCAGGTGGCAGGAGCACGCCCACACAGATGTGCAAAAGGGATGCGTGGAGCACGTATTAAATCCAATGAGGTCGCATTCATTGGCCAAATTGATTCAATTCCTGAGCCCTGCTGCGCCAACTCGACCTCAAATGCAGCTACGCATTCAACTTCATTTAATAGCTGGCGGCAGTTAGCTCAAACATTTGCTGATTTTATTAAGCCGTCCCGATAATCTCAGTGCCTCCACCAATCACATTATTGTGCTGATGTCGATATATTCGATGTGGCTTAGTGGCTGCCGTTAGACACTTTATTTGCAATCAGTTGTAATTGGCTGAAAATGCATTAAGATCTACTTAAAGCAAATGCACCAGGGTCGAAAGTTGCCCTCTAACAACAGCAATGCGAATCAATAAGCAATGTCGAAAATGAGAGTAGAGTTGATTGATAAAAGAGCCAAACAAATTTTGATATGTAAACAATTTGAATAGGAATATGAAATAGTAATGTGACAGCTCTAGCTCTAAAGTCAAGTTTATTATATATAGATAGTACATAAGACTTGATGGAATTGAAGTAGCTTCAGTCATATATGATATATGTATATATCAGTCTATCAGTCTATATATAACAATGCCTTAGACATGGGTATAATTATTAATAATTAGCGTTGTGTTCGAGGTCAGAGTACGGAAGCAACGATTCTCGCACATTGGAAGTAGAGCAAGTTTTATGATAATATTTATTTTCATTTTAAATTCAAAAGTCATTTATTTTTAACCAATTAAATTATGTATACAAAACCATTTACAATTTTTCTGGTTTTTAATTATATGTAAATAAGTTAGTTGCATTGTTATGCTTTAGAATTTTAAGCAAAGAGATCAAACAGATAGACTGCATGACAATTAATTATAATTGGCCTCTGCATCTGCTCAGAGCTGAAGCGAATAACTCAAATATAACAAATGCCACTTGCCGCTGAGTAGAGCCAATAAATTATCAACAATCTTATAGTGGCAATAAACATCAGCGACGGTCAAATATTAACGATCGTTTTCAAGACCTGACTATGGACTGCATGACAGTTTGATATTAACGACTATTTAGAAGCACTTCGCATGAGAATCTCTTCAGCAAACAAAACTTGGATGGAGCGAGGCATAAGCTATTAGCAAAGTTTGTTTAGTAAATGGCGCTGGGGCCTGATAGCTAACCGAAGTTTGTCCGCAGAGCAACTCCCGAAAGTTGTATCGATGCAGCTTTCATATTAAGTCAACTGCAATATTCAAATCGGCAGAAATTTAAAGCACAAATTACCAAATTGAATTATTTGGGGAAAAGGGCATGGAAAGAATCCCAGTTCATAATGAATATATAAAACAATTGTTGAATAATGAGTCTAATTATTGCGAGCATTTCATGATGCTGTGCCTTCAGCACAGTCACATACAAATATTGATTTACAGCTTGTACGCTGCATTGTTCTTTCCGCATTGAAATTAATATAACAATAGAAATGGAAATGGAAATGGATCCTTGAAGGATGCCGCTGTGAGTGCCTGGCAGCTTCTAGCAATGCAAATTCATAAAGTAAACAAAGCAAGTGATGGCCTCTCAGATGTGCCCTCACACACACACATATCACTAAATTTAAACTTAATTTATAAGAAAAATAAACGACATACATATAAATTACAATTTAGTTTGCATGGAAAAGACAAAACTGTATTCGAATTAAAAGAATACTCCGCACCAGAGAGCTGCCTTTTGAGGTATGTATATGCGATACTACGGCTGCAGCTACGTGCTCTCTGGAGCTCTGTGGGAACTTGTCTTTCGCAATTTCACACGTCGGCAAAAATTGAATTTAATTTATACGCCTTGCCAAAACACATTTCTGGCACACAGGACCAGAACAAGAGCTTGGCGAGGACATTTCTCGGCACTGTTGATGCCGTGTCCGAGCCAAGAATTCGAAAACAATTCGCCAATGCGGATCCCCATTGTTTCTATCGGCCAAACCAAAAAAGTCTCGGAAAGATAACTCAGACAAAAAATAGAGAGCAAAATAAAGGCGAATGGGAAATGAAATTTCTGTATATGGATTAAGGCGCACATCGATAGAGATTTATGTATGTGCCTTTTGGAAAGCCGTTTGCATTGGCCGCTGCCATAAAAATAGACACATGAGCTAAATCCAGCACGGCTCCGTCTGTGTCCAATTGTCTCTCTGTGTGGGTGTCTGTGTGTCTGTGTGTGTGTGCACGTGTTTGTATAGGCGCCAACAAAACACACAGGGGCGTGGCAAAGATAAACAAATGGATTGGTATTGCAGTGCTAAAAGTTAGACTTTGCTAACTGAAAGCGAGTCGGGGCGACAGCCAAAGGGCCATGCCAGTACAAAGGCACATCAATCAAATTAGTCCACATTGACAGCCTCGACGGATACATAATTAGCCTGGGCTAATGCATGCGCTGGTGTGTGAGGCCACTCAATGTCCGCAAAGGCAAATCATTTTACCTAAAAGCGTTGACTCACTTACCTTTAATAACATCAAAGACTTGACGAGCCTCAGCTCATGGGATGCTGCCTCATTTGCATTGGCGTTTCATTCGCCATTGAGTAGGGACCCACACAGCCACACAGTCAACATTCATTGTTCCACAATCTCACCCGCCCCCCGCACTCCTCGTGTCGTACGCATTTTGTTGATTAGCAAACGATGATGATTAAAAAAGAAAAAATTGGAATGTATTACAAGCTCGTTTCTCTCATTTTGTGCAATTCCCGCTCCAAAGGCGACATGCTTTGCATTTTGATCAGCTGGAATTCGTTCATAATTAGAAATCCCGTTAAATGCCGTGATTTGCAAATTGCCAAGTAATTAAAATTCCAATGTCAAAAGCACAGACTGACTGACGGCTGGCCGACTGGCGGGGAAAAATCCGAGGAGAATCCATTCCATCTTCATATTTTTGGAATATTCAACAAACAACTCGATGCATTTCTTAGTACTGTTGCGCTCCATCATCATTCGCTGCCAGCTCAAGAGCTCTCATGGGTAATTTCACTTTGTGCGCGCAATGGCCGAAAAATTAAGCAAAAAGGAAGCTGCAGCGCACAAGACAAGCAGCTGGGACTTGGGAGCGGGAAGCTGTCCATAGGATGTGCTTAAGGGAGAGCAAGTCCGCGAGCGCTCGTAAAGAAATGATTTCGAAAAACAATATCCGCTTGGTTATTCTTTGGCTGCGGTCGGGAGCTGCGGCTGCCCTTTCGACTGAGACAGAGAATTGGCGCATTGCATATTTCTGCAATTTATTTGCGCTCGAATGAAAGCCCCCAGAGGAGCGCTGGCCAAGGAGATACAATATTAAAAGGCTTTCAATAAAAATCAATTTATGAACCATAATCGAAGGCCAGCCAAGTGCGGCCCAGCCCAACGGAGCATAGACGGAAATTGTGCGTTCATTAATTGAAATGCAGCAACCACCTGGTGGCCCGTGATTACGGCTTAGGTGCGGTCTATTTAATCCACAGATTGCATTTATTGAGTGCTCCTCAAACACCGATTTGCATTTGCCAAGGCATTCTGCTTGCATTAATGGGCAACGGCTTGAAATCAATCAATGCACGAGCAGGGCGACAGATTGACTCATAACTTATCAATAAGCCTACAAAGTGGCCTTAATACGCACACATATAAACGATTTATACATATGCAAAGCTACGTGTGTGTGTGTGTGTGTGTGTGTGTGTATCTGTGTGCGCAATCTTAACTATTCAAGCGACTTATACGCAGCTTAAGGGCCTTTTCTGTATTTGCCTCGGGCCATTCCCAACAAACTTACAATAAAAACTCGAAAAGTTTGCTTTTTTATTCAAATTTGGTCGGTTCTACTTGAGCCTAACAATGCAAATAATCTCGAAAAGCGTGCTGAAATCTAATAGTGTGCAAAACGGATACATAAATAAAATTAACTTGTTTACATATTTACAATAAAAATATATATATGCTTCGGATGTGAAACAAAAAAAAAAACAAAGAAAACGAAAGAAAAGCCATCCACGCGCTCTGCGTATGTCGACAAAACTTCAATTTTATCTAATCTCAGATGTTGAATGAAATGTTTCGAGCGAAATGCTAATTTTATGGATACTGTTCATAGGTCTTCATGTGAGACTGAAACAGAAACCGACAAGCTCAACTTTCTATAGACTTTTATTGAATTTTGGCAAGTCCCCACTCTAAGCTTCGCCTGCACCGCTAGAGGAAACACGGCGTCACCCACCGCATGAAAGTAAACGAGAATCAAACAAAAAAAAAGCAAAACAGGGAAAGTTTAAAGGGATCCTCCCTCCAGCAATGAGAATATGGTTTTCTTTCCTTTTGGCTCTCTCTCTCTCTCTCTCTCTCTATCTCTCTCTCTCGCTCTCTCTCTTTTACTTTTGGGTTGTATGCTTTCATTTTTAAATTAAAACTCTTAGCAAGCGCACATAATATAAAACACATTCAACAAACACAAAATAAGGGCCGTGAAGAGGGTGAGAGATAGAGAGGGGGCGGCCGCTAAGGCCGACGTGTAAACGATGCGAAAACATAAACATAATGAAAAATATAAACTTAAGCAAACTTAAACTTGGAATAGGTCGATAATGATTTCAAAGAGCGAGAGACGAGGCCAGAGCAATGGAGCCGACCAACTGGCCAACTGGGCAGCTGAGCAACTGGGCAGCTGAGCAACTGGGCAAGCTGGCAGCTTGGAAACTTGGCAACTGACAGCGCGAACACGTTCCTTTGATGCTATAGTGAAATACGTGAGTCTGCAGTTGAGATTGGACGAGGGACGGTCAGACGCATCAATTCACATCAACTTAACACGACGCGTCGGCTCATTGGATAAGTTAAGTTTATCTACAGCACGTGATGAAACGTCACTGACATGAACTAGTGCTGCTGGCACGGCTCCACTGCACAGCAGTCGGTGTTTGGCAGCCACTGCCCCACATCCAGCAGAGTTGCCCCAAAGCTTGTGTTACGCTTAAACAGCTATGATATGAATGAAAGAGCTCAATCATCTATACAAACAGCAGCTGGGATGCTCACACACACACACACACATACGTCGTATAGCTGCAACACAATCGGATTGCATTTTTCACAACTCAACAAGTTTCGACTAAGTCGACAACTGGCAACACGCAAAACAGTTACGTGGCGCCACTCAATAATGGCCCCAATGCAGGCCATTTACATGCATTAGCATATCTAATTTCAAATATATATTATTTATATTTGCTGTGTCACATGATAATCAAATTTTCAAATAATTCTCAATCTGTGCTGTTGGCCTATAACATAATCTAATCAAGAAATAAAACGAAAATATGCATAAATAGAGAGAGACAGAGGGAGAGAGAGAGTGGGAAGGAGAGCGAGCTAGATTTATGTGAATAATAATTGGGCCACAAAATAAAGAGTTGACTGGCAAATTATTTTGTGCCACAGCCATGGCAATGATCACTTTTATACACACACACACGTAACACACGCACACTCATACATGTGCATAACTCAAATTGTGTTGGCCGGCAATATGTTCGCGCGTATTAACACAGACACTAGAGCAATAAATTTGCCAAACACTCTAAACAGGATTTGCTAATATTTTGTTTCCATGCCGACCGCATCAAGTATACCGAGAAGGACTATTTATGGCTAACTCACCGAGCCCAATATCGAACCGACGAGCCACTCAAGCGTGTACCGAATATGCTTTACGTATTCCGTGCACGCTTCCATCTTCAAGTATGCGTGCTTATAGCAGGCACACCGACAACAGCAACAACAACAACAGCAACAACAGCAACAACAACTCGAGTGTAGTGGCAACAACAACAGGGAGCGGCTGCATACGTTTGCTTGTTCGGCACTAACTGCCTATCAAACACTCTGCTCTCCTCTCCACACTATGGCCGAGAGCCGAGTCCTGCTTGCTCTAGAGAATTGCTCGCAGGCCAACTTTTCCCTTGGCCTCTTGGCCATAAGTGTATGTGCGTGTGTGTGTGTGTGTGTGTGTGTTTTTGCTCAAATGTGTTGGTGTTTTCCTTTAGGTTGACCGCTCATTTATCACCGCAAAGTCAACCAGAGTTTGACCTTCATCAATTTTATTCGTGCATGAATTGCGGGCCTGTCTATGCGCATCTTTTTCGAAATGAGCCCGCCCCCTCGCCCTGTATGCACTAGGCGAATTTCTAGCCGAATGAGTATATAGTATGAAAGTATAATGAAATATGATTATGTTGCATATGGGTTAAACTATTCAGATTTATTTGGCCTGCTCCAGTTCCCGTTTCTGCCTCTGTTTATTTTCGATTTTTGCTCAATTTATTCGCTTAGATACCTTCCTCCAAGGAGTCTATGAAATATATATAACAGTATATTTCAAAATTGACTTGGCTGCGGCACAAATTGAAGCTTAGCTCTCGGTATGTTGTGTTTTATGGCACTTATTGGAGTCGGCTAAGTAGTGGGCGGACTTATTATGCACTCCGCAGAAAGTAAAAATTTTACGGCAAAACGCTAACAAAAATACTATAAAACCACCTTTGAGCAAACATTTGCCACACATTAACTACTCTACTATCTGACGATGCAAGGAGCAAAATAACAGTACTTAAACGCCCTGCCCGACTAGAACTATGGCCTTTTAAGCGAACGGAAGTAAGCGGCTCTCGTAAAAGTAGCTTGAGATCTGCTGTGGCACCACGTAAGCCTAATGGCGAGCAAAAATGTGTCCAAGGAACAGCAACGGAACTAATAAGCATATGAAAGATTGCTAAAAGTATTTTCAAAGCTCATCAAAAGAATTTTCATTTGAGAATTATGTGAAAATGGATTTGGAAAACGAATATCAACTGAGAAGTCGAGAGCAGCTGACGACAGTTGCAATCGCTGTGGCTGAGGTGGGTTAAACTGCAAATAATATTTTTTTTTTGTGGCCTGTAAACAAGCGGTCGTAATTTAATTTAATTTTGCAGCTTATGAAATATGAAGAGCCGAGCGAACAACTCTCTCATAATAACATTTAATATTTAGATGCCGCCAAGTACAATGTAAACAATTGCTTGAAAGTAAATTTTATGCGGAGCGGCAGCCGTAAAGCAAACAAACCAGCTGTAACAACAAAATGATTTTTACAATCAAGAACAAAACAACACATTTAATTTTGCAACAGAGCTTCATACCCAGCCCCTCCCCCAACCCAGCCATCCACCTCCACCTCCACCTCCTCATTCACGATGCTGACTGCTGTTAGTTGCTGTTGCCTCTGCGTCCTCGGCTCGCTGGGAAGTCGCATTGACCGTCGAATTGTAATCAAATGATAAATGTTTAGCAAAAAGGCGACCAGCAAAGTTCTGGTCTATACCCCGTGCCGTATACGTCCCGGCACTTGAGCGTCCGAGTTGTTGCAAAAACGGCAATAAAAAAAAGGAGGAGAGAAAGAAACGAAGAAGCAAGAAAATGGTGAAACCATCTCAACTGCCCACAGGACGATTATCACAGGTTGCCGCGGACATGGACAAGGACACGGAACAGGAGACACGGGACAAGGGACAAGGAACAAGGGAGAGACAAGCGCTGAAACCGCAAGACAATTGTTCTTAAGGATGGCCACAGTGAAGGCAGCACTGGAGCAACTCCGTCGAGCGGACCTGTCTGCGATGCTTTTTGCGCGCACTCCTGCCCGTGGACAGGCGTAACGCTGAGACGCAGGACAATGATTTGCATTTTCTGCTATTTCGGTTTCTGTCTCAGTTTATTCGTTTTTATGACACTCGAAACGCAGCAAAGGGAAGCCAGCTACACTTAAATTAGAGCAGTCGCCGTCGGGCCACAACAGCTATGCAAAATTGCCGCCTGACGCACAACAACAACAACAAAAAAACCTGGTGAGGGATGAAGAAAAGAGAGAGAAAAAAAATTAAAATAAGCGCGCCAAGACAAATTCCAAGTATTTCCAGCTGGCGTCCAGGACACAAGAGCACACAGGCAAACTTTTGGCCGGATACAGCGGCTAAATAAAATATGAACTAGGGCCAAAGCCAAAGTTTGCGAGATGCCTTTTATTGCCCCGCTCGGGGATTAGAGTGCGCCGTAGCCACGAGCCGCTCGGCCTGGCCCCTGCTGCGTGGTCGCTTCATATTTTTGCGAATGTTATTTGTTCGAAATTGCTCTCAAGTTGCTAAGTTTGCTCTCCTGTTGCTGTTGTTCTGCGTGATGCTGATGCTCATGCTGATGCAGACGGCAAGGCTGAAGCTGCTGCTGCTGCTGATGCTGCCTGCGAACACTTCCTGCGATGCTCTGGCTGTCAACGCTTTATGCCGAGCAATGGGAACTGTTCCCGCCGTGGGCGGATTTCTTTCACTCGACGCCCTCTGCCCTAAACGCTTCGGCATCTGAGTTTGTTGAAAGCAATTGTTCTTTGCATTGTTTGCTGCTGCCAGCGTGCAGGCTATAATCAAATTAGAAGATAAACCGTTTGTTTATTGAGTAAATATATGCACATAAATATGTGTACATATAGTTAAATATTTGCAATACCTATCACCTATAAAGTACCTGTATGTACTTCAATTAGTAAAGAAGAGAAAAAAATTGATGGAGCTATAGAGCACATGAGTAGATTATTGGGCATATATTCTCATGAGAATCGCAGAGAAAGGAAAAATCAAATAAGAAATTTATGAGATAAGCTATTCATAGTCATAAGCATTGTTACCTACTATAGTTTTTCATTAATTTCCATTCATCAACTTAATCGGCAAATCATGTTTCCAATAATCTTATATAAATATATATATATTTCCTAGAATGAGATTGAACTCAACTGAGTGAACACAAACGAAAAGTTTCAATCAATAGTTTCCGCCCATTTGGCTGCCATCAATCATGTGGTCAAAATTTTGCCCGCTTTGATAAATCGTTTTAGTTTTGACAAAGTTCAGAATGCTGGAACTATGCACTTGCTCCCAACACATTATATAGGTCAAGTGCTTGGGAATGGTAAACATAGATATTTCCGTTTGTGTCCTTTACGAATGTCCCCTTTCTTCGATGCCCGCGCGTAGTCACCTGCGCATTAAGCGAAATTAGCGCTAATAAATCTCCGCGATTTATTTTACCTTTATCGCAGACATTAAGATAAATCTGATTAAGAAGAATATCATAAATCCCAATATAGCCCAAGAACGGACGGAATGAACGCCGAGGCGGAGCACCAAGGCCAGCTCCACGTCCCCACCAACGCCCACGGCCAGGGCCGCGGTCTTGTCGCATGCCTAATTGCGTTCTGCGTCCCGCCTTTGGCACCGGCAGCCATAGCCCCGCTATCCCCGTTAGCTAGTTGGGCGGACTAATCCTTTCGCGTTTTAAAAAGGTTGGAGCCCGCCCACCCACATCCGAATAGAAGCACGCAGCCGAACCTGAACCCCGCCGGCGACCCACAGCCAGAATACAAACGCTGAGACTCATCTGCAGCTCGTCTGCGTGCGTAGCGAAGCTGCAATCTCAACGTGATAAATTATGGCTATTTGAATTCCTTTCGCTGGCATCGCCTTCTGTATTATTATTGTTGTTGCTGGCATTTGTGTTTGTGATAGGGTCGGGCATGGCATGGCCCGGCCCGGCCCGGCGGGGCCTGCACGAGCTGGCTGCCTGGAAATGAAGAGCATGAGTTATGAACCCGGACAGCGCTGCGTTGCGTATACGCCGCGTTCGCCAAACACATAATTGCCGCTAAGATTTACGTTAGCCCTTTAAATTTATGTTACAAATTGCGCCAACTTTATGTTTATTACGTGCAGAATAATAGGCTTTTGTTGCTGCCAACTGCCAACAGCCAACAGGCAAGCGTTACGCCCCAATGCCAGCCCATCCACCTGTGCACCGCCCACGAGTACGCTAGGCGTATCCCGTGAATGGGCTACACCCGTTCGTGCTCAATCCCAAGCACTTGCCGTCATAAAAGAGGTATTATCTTCGCGCATAATTGTATAAATAATGCACTTTTTAGCGTTGACTTCATTCAGCTCTATTTATACATAAAGATACATATATATCCATATATATATATGCCTATGTATATAGTAAATATTATAATGTTTTTTATGAATGCAGAGCGAGTCGAAGGCGGCATATTGTGCTGCTTATTAATGGCGCTGATAACACCAAAATGTACTTAGCCCAGACAATTCGAGGCAATTAAAGTGCCATAAACGAGGACGATTTCACGACATAGCCGTTAGCCAGTGAATGGGCTAATTTATGGATGGACTGCTCTTCTCCTCTCATCCTGTCTTCCGTGCTGCCTGATTGCATATAAAACTCATCTCGTATTCAAACCTATGCATATGGCCGAGGAACAACATGGATTCGGAAAGAGACACAGATAGAGAGGTAGACGAAGAGAGAGAGAGAGAGTGAGGGGGGAGCAGACGAGTCAATAACAAGTAATTATCAAGCAATGATTGAATGTTTGCTCTTCACTTTTTTATTGCTATTTAAATATCATGCAAATTTAGTTGGGAATGCAACTGTAATTAGTGCTGATTATAGCTGTACAGCTATATCACAATTAAGAGCTTTAGCTGTTGATTCACTCTTTTTTTAATGAATACTAATTATACAAGGAAGCCATTTTTATATATTTTCTCAATACTTATGACATTATTATCATCATGTTCACTGAAGTCAGCAGCTGTGTCATAAGAGTGGAATAATAATAAATGTATTTAAGAAATATTTACCATTCATTAAAAATAAATTGATAGCTCTGTAGGTGAATATCTCGATTATTTATCGATTCAATATTTGCGCTCTGTGGTAGTTCATATATTTTGAATATTTAAAGACTTTAAAGAGACTCTGGGTTCTTTACTATACCTCGGTTTATTCCACTACACTCTCCCAATAAATATTTCGACTTTTGAAATTTATATAAGAATCATTAAATGTGTTATATAACCAACATTTGTTCAGGACAAAAAATACCAAATCGGGTTCTTTATTTTCATATAAAAAATACAAAACAAATATGAGGAGCATTCATTTGATATAATGCTGCGAGTTACATAATCATAGGCATACATACATGTCTAAGTCCTGGGTACACAGCCCTTTAATGGATGAGTATTTTTTGTACTCGCCTCTGTATGTCCCACATATATTTTGGGGCAGAAAAACAAACATTTGGGGGAGGTGAAAATATGTGGGACTAGGATTTCGTTTACTAAGACTTTTCCTGCCTTTGCCGACTGTCACGTACATGGCCCAAGCCAGAAACAACAATGTGGCTAACAAAAAATGTAAACAACAGCAAGAACACATGCACAGAGCATTGCGGATCACTGAAACCGTTTCCAGCCAAAAGCCAGAGCCAGAGCCAGAGCCAAAGCCAAAGCCAAGAAGGAAAAGTGTGCAGCGAACCTTTGTTGATTACATTTCGTAATTAAGGAGATTTTAATATGCCACAAAACGACATAAAACTAATGCATAATTTTACAACACATTTGAGTAGGCACGCACTCACTCATCAGGGGTCCGCAGTGAGTCTCTCCTGCGAGTGGATGGGTGCAACATGTGTATTGTCAGCCATTTCGTTGCCGAAAAGTAACATGTGACGTAGGTGGGTTAGAGCAATGCTTCCGCTGCTGCCGCTGCCGTTGCTGCTGGGTAAGGCCTATGTAAACAAAACTCAGAAATCCGCTGACTGTTCCGAGTTTGTATTCCGGCCCCTACTTGTCGTTTTTTATGGCATATTGTAAAGTATCTTGTTAACATATTTGAGGCATTAACTGAGAAAACTACACAATACGCCAGCGCACACGTGCTGATGCGGTTTGAGGTCGCGAGCTCGGAGCTTTCCTTTCGTTCGTGTCTCTGCCAGCGCACCAGTCGAGGGGAAATGGGGCTAAAGTACAAATTAATTAGTGTGCCAAGATTCAGAGAGCAACAACGGAACATCAGATGCGACGGCTGCTGCGCAACAGACAAACATAATACATATATATTTTTGTATATACATAAAACACACATATAAATATATACATGTGTGTGTGTGTGTGTGTGTGTGTACACACATTTCCCCACTTCTCCGCGTGCAGTTTGCGCACTCGGCCAATTTGAAATTGCTCAAATGGGGTAACAAAGGCGCCCAGTAGCACGAAGCAAAGTTAAACCAACAAGCGAACTTCCTTCTAACTAATTAGCCGGCAAGTGAGCTATGCGGCAAGGGGCGTGCCAGTGCCGGGGCCAGGATGTCAACAGCAGGCAGGCCAACAGGCAGGCAGGCCGGCAGGCCGACAGGCAGCATCTGCATTTCCGTGGAGTAGTCGCAGCATATTACAAATCATTTAATTTACATAAATTTAGCATTAACATTCAAGTCCACTAAGGGATCCCTTTAATTGGCACAACGTGCTGGCCGTTTGTTTATTTACTTCTCCTGAGCACAATTTAGCTATCACCCGCCCGCCCCTCCAGCATCAGATAGTTCGCATTGCTGAGATACATGTGTGAGTCTAAAAGCCGAGAGGGTTTGATGCACTGCCTGAAATAGTCCAGCTGCCGAATGCACTAGGCAGCCCTATGCCCTGTGAGTCCCGAGTTCCATAGCCAAGAAGTTCTGCAGAAGTTTTTCTTTTGTTTTATTCAAAATTTGCTCGCCTTCATTTGCGCAATGCTAATTGTATTAATTTTGTTAATATTACCTTTAAGCCTTTTCACTCAGCACTCACTGAGAGAGAGAGGGCTTCGCCTGCTCCGTTTGGCGGCTCCAACTTGTAAAGTCGAGTGCTCCTCGAGTTTCGGGGAGAGCGCATCCAACACTTCCAAATTATGGGCAAACACCAGCACACCCTAATAGAGCGAGGCAGAACTTAAGAGGCCACGTAGCGCCGGGTAGCTTCAAACAGGCGCTCGCCTGTTAAATTATTCCAAGAGCTGCACTCAGAACTTTGAAGCCTTCGGGCGCGCTCCAGAATAAACTTTGGCGCAACTTGCACTGGCCAAGGGAGCTAGCTAAGCTCTATTGGTTTGCAACTAGTTATTAACTCAAGCAATTACAGTTTTTCATTTATAATTATAGCTGCGGCGACAGCAGAGAAAAAAAAAATGACAAATATTGACAGATAATTTCAGAATCAAGTAGAGACTTGGCCACTCTAATGAAACATGGTTGATTGAATCTCAATTCAGTGGCATGTGCTCATCAGCAAAGCAGGCTGGAAAATCAAGAGAGCAAGCACTCTGAAACCGATATAGAGCAATATTTATAGAGTAGCTCGCGAGCCACAGAGTTCGCTACGGCATATTTAAAGAGCTCATGCAAGAAATTTTAATTAGTTGCGGAAGTGTGGCTAAAGTTGTGGCAATCGGGCCAAGTTCAGTCATCATCATTGAGAATGCGAGGAGAAGGTATCTACGTGCTGCTGCTGGCGATTGGAGGTCTGGCTCTAACACTGACAAGCGTTGCCGGACTGGAGAACGGGCTGGCCAGAACGCCGCCAATGGGCTGGATGCCGTTCGAGCGGTTCCGCTGTCTGACTGACTGCGTAAAGTTCCCCAGGGATTGCATCAGGTGAAAATGTCAAGCTGCTGGATAAACCTGTCATCTTTATTTCCTGTATTTTCATTTTATTTTTGGCTTGCTCTTCGTGTGTAGTGAGCGGCTCTTTATGCGTACGGCTGACCTTCTGGTATCGGAGGGGTATGCGGCGGCTGGCTATAAATATTTAATAATCGATGATTGTTGGATGGAAAAGGAGCGCAACGCAATCACAGCCGAGCTGATGGCCGACCGAGAACGATTCCCCAGTGGCATAAACCACCTATCAGCATACGTAAGTCAATTATTGATCACAACATGATTTTCTATTCCCTGTCTGTTTCTCCCCTGCTTGTCAGATACACAACAAAAGTTTGAAGTTCGGCCTGTATCACGATATCGGAAGGAGAACTTGTATGCATTTGGGTCCCGGGGCGCACGGCCACTATTCAATTGATGCCAAGACCTTTGCCAGTTGGAGCGTGGACTATGTCAAGTTGGACGGCTGCTATGTCGATGGCATTGACCTTAACACGGCGTATCCGGCCTTTGGCCAGGCATTGAATAGGACAGGTCGGCCCATGGTTTACTCCTGTAGCTGGCCATACTACCAAAACAACGTTTGTTGCCTCCAGATATTTACAAAGAATTTTGTATACGTAGAATTTTTTATATTTGCAGCCCAACTTTGAATTGATAAGAAAACATTGTAACTTGTGGCGTTTCGCTGATGATATCAGAGACTCCACCGCATCCATTATTAACACCATATTCAACTACTTCAAGAGGCAGGATAATTTGACAAAACATGCCGCGCCTGGCAGCTGGAATGACCCAGATATGGTGGGTAGTATACCATACATACATAAATATATGTATATATGTCTCATGTAAATCAAAAATTCAATTTGATATTCCATTAGCTGGTGTTGGGCAACTATCACCTCAGCTATGATGCGAGTCGCTTGCAACAGGCCATGTGGGCGGTGCTCGCCGCCCCGCTCATCATGTCGAATGACTTGCAGACAGTTCGGCCTGAAATCAGGGCATTACTGCAAAATCGGTTTGTATTCTTTTAATGAAAACATTTCAATTATCTAGTACATTTGAAACCGCACTGCGCAGCGATATAATCGAGGTCGATCAGGATCCACTCGGCATACCAGGCCACTGCGTACTGACGTCTGGCAATATACAGGTATTTTGGTTTTCAGATTTATATATGCAATGGGCTTATTTGAAATAGCTGGCATAATTAGGTCTGGCTGCGCCCCGTCATGCCTACTAATAATATTGGAGCACACTCATTTGCTGTGGCTTTTGCCAACATTGGGGAGCACTATGAGTGCCCCCTGTGCCCACAGACGTTTCGAATTATTTTACAAAATTTGGGACTCTCGAATCAAATGGGCTACGTAGCTTATGTAAGTGGAGTTCAGTTACAATTTATGATATTTAGTTTTAATTGATTTTGAAATTTGTTTCAGGACTTGTTTGATAGCAAGCGGCAGGTGGGTCTATTCAAGCCGCAAGACCAATTCACTATACGAATCAATCCTTCAGGAGTTGAGTTTTATAAATTTAAGTCCGAAGATATTTACTAGATGGCATCGGTTTCTATTTTTGTTTCTATTATAAAATAATGTATAACTAATATTTGACTCAAGTTTGAGCTGTTCAAGTGAAAAGAAACCTAGTGATATTTTCTACATTTTTATACATTAAATAATAATTATTATTAAATTTTATTTATAAAAACAATTGTTGTTTGATTGTTTTATGATACTTTCTGCAAATTTACTTTATCCGTCTAGCGCCTAGAAGAGCGCAAAAGCCGGCTTAAGCAACGAATGTACCGAAAAGGTAATTTTCTCTTTTTCCCCACGGGGAATTCGTGCTCTTAGCTGGCAACGGCATGATGGCTGCTGGTGAAGAGGAAATTTGAGAGGGGGAAATCATTTGCATTTTATAAGCTTCATGGGTGGCTTTTATTGCCAGAACTTGTAAACATGACATTTCCATATTTATCTCCATGAGGCGGCATTCCGTTCCAGCTTTCGAATACATCTGCACGAAATCCTCACTGCTTTCACTTCTGTATCCTGCTCGAGGGTAACCTGGCACGTGTAGAAAAATGACTAGCAATACGAGGGGCAACAGCTAAAAGGTGAACTGCAAGCCGAAAATGAGAAAAAATTTGCATAATTTGAGCAAGGTAGTTATATTTAATTTTGAATAATTTCCAGCTTTGTTGCAAATAATTTACATCGATTTATATTGTAAATCGGATACAAATATATACATATATACACGCTAATACGTACACAAATACATTTCCTTTCTCTCTCTCTCTCTCTCTCTCTCTGTGTGTGTGTGTGTCTGTTGGGCGTATCAACGAACGTTTGTTTAATCCATAAATTTCAGTTGATATTGTATTCGCCTCACAGGATGAGGATGCTCGAGGACGCTCGCTGTGACCGATGAACGACAGGACCGTTAATGCCATCGAGGATGCTGTTAGCTTCTGTCATGTTCTTTTTATTACCCCGAAATCAATATTTATTAGAGGATAATGGCGCAGCTCACGGCTGACACAGCTGGGCCACCCAGCCGCCTCCCTTTCCATGTTTACCTGGGCGCGGGACCAGGGTCCCGAATATTGTGGGATGCTTAAATTGAATATCCTCACTTTAACAGTAAGGTTCATCCCTTGATCAAATTTGGTCAATACATTTTCGCAAATATTGAGCTTGACAGAGAGCCAATAAATTGCCAAAATATACTTGCATAAACACATCAGTGCGGGCAGTTCATCAAAAGTCTCCAAGTTGTTTGCTGAATTGTTGTTACAGGCTGCTAAATTTATAGTTGAATCAGCATTATTGATTGCAAAATTGTTAGCTTTGATGATGTATAGCAATATATTTCCAAATTTGGGCAACTCGTTTGTGTACTCGCAGCCGAGGCAAGCCCGAGCTGAGGTATTGAAAAGCTTAGCATTTTTCATGCATTTCGTATATGTTTTGAGAGCGAAGTACAGCATGCATAGCTACAGCTCAGACACCTTCAGAAAATCTCTCCAATTACGTGAAATAATATTTTTAGTTCGTGGCTTGTGGGAGGGAGGGGCGTCTCATGCATTTTGAAAAAGCAATTAACTTTAAACAAGCGTGGCCAAGCACAACATAATTAATTCATTGCCAAGCAACTAGAAGTGGCGCTCTAGTCGTGGCCAGTTTATAGCCAACTACACCTGCTCCACCACACACACACACGCACACACACACACTTATACAGCTGGTGGTGTCGAGCGGCTGACATACCAATTTAAGTAACTATTCCATAAACGCGCCTTTCCCGACTGTCGGCTGGCAGTTGCGTTGCTTTTCATAGCTTGCATAATTTGCAGGTAGAACATTTCCTTTATAACTGAGCCAGCCTTATGGCAAAGTGGATGGCAAAGTCTATGCGCTGTGGCAATTAAAGGACCTTCGCCTTCGCTCTGCCTCATAGCCGGAACAAAGACTGGCTACGTTTAGATATTTACGCGTGTTCTCCATTAAGACAATATTAATCTACCTCGCAGCGCACTTCCCACGCCAAACCTGAAACAATGGAAATATTTAATGAATGCTCCGAGGCCAGGCACTCGGCGTAGTTAAATAAAAGTTAATATCATATTGTTAAATTGTCTAAAATTTGGCTTAGTTGAGCTTTAGAAAGTTTCTCTATATAATAATATATGGCATACCTTTGGTCGGTCAGCATAAACTTTAATGAATCGCAGTTGAAACTGTATTTAATTAATCATAGTCAAGGGAGATTTTCTGCTTCCACTTTGGCTAATTTTGTGGAATTTTTCCGTAAAATGAGCCAAAAAAAGGGATACAACACACATATGTCGCAACGACAACTAGAAAAGTGAAAACACAAATTTGCTGCATTGATAAGGCTAAAATGATATCCTAGCCAGGGAGCTGACGATGATTTGCTGCAGCAGCAATTTATCAAACATATAATTCAGACCATGAACCGTAGCCGGTTGAGTGTCTGCGAGCAGTCGTAATTAAAGCAAACAACAGGGGAGAATAAATAAGCGCACACAAACACATATACATATATACATACACACACACACACACATGCACATCGAGCAGCTGGCAGATGGCGAAGAGCAAAAACCAACATAGCGCAATGCATGAGAGAGCGTCCATTGGCTCGGCAGCTAGACTTAGCAACGAGTCGAACCGAAACAAGAGACGGCTCCATTGTCAGCATTTTTGGCCAGCAATGCCGAAGCCAGGGCAGCGGAACGGCAGAGCGGCAGAGCGGCAGGGCGCCAAAGCAACAAAAGCAAAAGCTGAACACACAACAGTGCGTATGAGCAATTAAATATAATAAAGCAAGGCAGATGACACTAACAAAAAACAGACGTAAGCCATCCCCACATTGGAAACTGTGTCGGCGCATTGGCTCTAATATTTTGGTGGCTTTCGTGAATTGCTGCCACGGCCTTATTCCCATGGACTTCCTTTCAAATCGCCACATGCTGCCATTGTTCTGCCTGGCCAAAGTTGTGAACAATTATTATCCGCTTTGGGTATTGCCAATATTTATGCACATTAAAACTGAATGTTTGCACTGCACTGTGCATGTGGAGCACATATAAATTGAATCGCATAATTGCGCTGCCAGACAATTACAGAGCAACCGGATTGGCTTTGCCAATGCAAATATACACAAACACTTGCCTGGGCTCAGTAAACATTGATTATCGACAACCACCGCTGGGACTTAATCCTCAAAGTATTTCTGCTCAAATGAAGTTATTTAAAGCTTCTTACACACTCGACTAGGCGTTTTCATAGTTTGCAATTTTCATGTCCATTTCATAGAGAATGCAAATGCGCATACGGAATGCATATTTGGCAGTGAGCTTATTTAATTTATTTAATATGTGTGATTAATCTTATTAGAGCCTACTTTGCTACACAGAAAGCATTGGCCATAAGTGATTTTCTGTGAGGTAAAGTTAAGTCTA